TGGGTCCCCAAAAATAGTACGGCACCCTGATAAAGCAGACCCTAATAGGGATCCTGATCTACCCATAATCCCTAAACTCACAAACAAATCGAAATTGTTTGCCTTTGTTCGCCTTGCCCCAGCTCAGGTGCAGCCCAGCGTGAGACCGGCAACAACCGCCCAGCCCAGGCCGGGAAACCGGCCAACTGGATGTGGTGGCTGACACTTAAAACTAATAATAAGACTAGTAATAATAATAATGGTAGCTGTACATGTGGGTTTACGGTTTAAGGTTTAGGGTTTAGGGTTGACATATATTACAAATCACATTTCTCAACTTTTTGTTGACCTCGAGCAGCCTCGAATCAAACGAAGAAACATGTTGCTACGGCTCTGCACTTTGCATGTCCTAGCGGCTATCCGTGCCGATGATGCTTTCATCTATGGTCTTCGCAACTACAACGTTAAGGTAGCTATATCTTGCATATCAAGGTTTCAATTTCCACTCGTATACATATAGCTGCATCAATGCAAGCTTTTCTGCAGCAAAAAAATCGTTCACGTAGGCAGAGGACTTCGTGGTGGCTCGCGCGATTCTAGTCCGCAATAATCAGCTTCAAATATCAGGTGAAATCCCAAAATTTCGAGGCTTGACTATGTCCGAGGCTTGCGGTATTGATTCCGTACTCCGATCATGCAGTGGCTGCCTCCGTCACGTTCAAGACACCAAATTGAGATGCATCGGTCTTCGTCTTGTGCTGCCGTAGGGGACAATTAAACAAACATGCACAAGAATGTCGCTCCGAAATATTGTTTCTCTTCGCGCAAAAAGAAACGGATTGTCACGCCAATGGCGAAGGTTGACACGAAAGCGTGGCCGCAATCTGTCCGCAACGCGCGCCCTCGTCGCCTGACGGTCGGGAGCATCTTGTAATCAGGCTTCACCGCGCATGGCAAACGGTCGAGGTACGGAAGTGTTGAAGGACAGGCCGGACTGCTGCGTGATGCCATAAGAAAATTCAAGTTGCCATCGGAAAAGGTTTAGGGTTCAGGGTATAGTGCTGACGAACCCGTCCGTAAAAGGCCATAATTTCGGTTTAGAGACAAGAGGATGCGAAGTGCAATCAAAGTCCCTACTTTTCGCAGGACGAAACTCCAATTGCTGTCGAAGGGGTTTTAAGGTGCTATAATTTTTCTCCTAGGAGAGAAAAGGCGGGGTGCTTCCGCACACAGATGTGTGTTTCCGCATGTTTCCGCACCCAGATGTTTGTGTCCGTGCTGTGCGTGTCCACACACACATGTTTGCTTTCCGCATGCAGAAGTGTGCTTCAGCACAGAGATGCGTGTCTTCCAGGCCGAGCCAGCCCCAGCCCAGCCAGACCCCTCAGCCCAGCTCAGCCCGCCCCAAATTCGAAATCAGCTTCCAACAGAAATACCTGCTCAAAAAGCTTCTGCCAAAACTTTCGGTCAAAACTGATGCACCCCAGCCTTTAACAATTCCTAAAACCCTAATCCCTTTAAAGGGCCGCCATAGCCAAGGCTCTAAGCGCATTCTCAGCGCAAAACTCGCGAAAGGATCGCTCTTTGGCCGATAAGGTGACGTTGGTGTTGAATCCTACCTCAGTGCTTGGGCTTTAGGGTTTAGCTCATGGGATTCGCTTACCAGGGTTTGTGTTTCGCTTTCTTTTGGGCGGTCTGTGTGCCGGATCTGCAGCAGATTGCCCTCAGCCTGAGCCCCTAAAGCCCTAAACCCTAAAGCCCTGAAGCTCTAAACCCCTAAACCCTAAAGCCCTGAAGCCCTAAAGCCTAAAGCCCCAAACCCCTAAAGCCCTGAAGTAAGCCCAGCACCGTGGAAAACCACGTCACGAACTCCGGAAAGGAGATAGAACCATTCCTCGGCTCGAAGTCCCGGGTTCAGGGACTAGGGGTTTAGGGGTTTAGGGGTTTTACATGGTAACCCTAAACCCTAAACCACTAAAACCCCCTAAAAACCCCTGAAAACCCCTAAGACCCCTAAGCCCCCATGGTAAGCCCTCTAAAAATAGAAACTTCTCGGAGATGAGGAGAGGGGTTTCGCCTCGATCCGAGGGCTATCAGAGAAGCCTTAAGGGCTCTTGGGTTGAGGGCTTTAGGGTTTTAGGGTTTTAGGTTTTTAGGGTTTTAGGGTTCAGGGCTTAGGGTTTACCTGGACCCCCAAAGAACCTACCCTTTTTGGGGCTCCTTAGTATTATTTTCTTTATATAAGTCCTTAAAAATGTAGGTTCTTTGGGGTTAAGGTAGGGATTTGCAGAGCGATATACTTCTTTAGGGAAGACCAGGGGATACGATTCATTACTCGTTTAGTCCGACTCCTCTAAGAAATCCACCAGCTCGACTCCATCGCAAGTCCAATCGCGCCCGGAGTCTTATCCTTGTCTGCGACAGCGAAGGCATGGCGCAGCAGATTCTGTGGCAGCTCGTCCAAAGAATCCATTCCAGTGCAATGGAGCAGGCCTCAAGAAGTCCGCTCAGATGCAAGACAGCTCGTTAAACCCGCACACTCCTCAATCCTAAACCCCCTTACCCTAACTAACCACTCTCTCATAGTTCCCGAGGTCTGCATACATCCCCGGAGTAGTTTCTGCCAAGCGACACTTGCCGAACCTGACATGCATCCAACTTCTGCTGAGTGATGTCTCATGTTGCTTTAGTACAAGGAAACTGGTCAGTCATAACGATCGTAGGCAGCATAACAGCCTTCATAATCATGATGTTCCATTGTCATTGCTCTTATATTCCTGACGATCCCGTGAGCTTACCGGTTACCCTGTTCATGGCCCAATGTGTGCGACGTAGTGCTGCCAGTCGGGTAGTGCTTCGTGCTAATGCTGTATGATCAAGGCGGGGCAGGGTCGTCATACGTGGCACAAGCATCCTCCCGCAAGACTCAGCAGCACGTCTTGCGACAAGCCATCAGATACGATAAGGCTGCAATCACCACTTGCAATCACATTGCACACTGACACCCACAGCTGCGTGAGACAGTACACAGTATTGCTTGACATCTTCTGTACGATTCTATCAGAAGTTCCCCCCAGATGTTCTTTCAAAGATCTTCCAGGCACCACAGGCCTTTAACGCATGCGGTACAGGCTTGTTCCGCGTATCCAGAGAAAGGCTATGGGAACATACTTTCCCTTATACACAAACAGACGAGATATTCCACCTGGTGCTTCACCAAGCAAGACACACCATGTTTTCAGTAGAATGAACTGGCTGTTGCGTCTTGCATGCGGTATCTCCCCCACTCACTCACTCCCATTCCGATACAAACGTATGCATGTATCTATATCTACATACATGAATGAATATATATATATATATACATATATATATACATACACACATGTACATATACATATACATACATGTACAATGTGTAGATATGCCTGAGTTTAGATGTCTGTCTGGGATACTCGTATTAAACCAGCTGCAAACCTTGCCAGTCTCTACCAACCCACGTGTGCAAAATCTCCGCAAACTTGGTTCCCGGTAGGCATCCAGCGTGTTAGCTGGAAGCACCTAGACAAAAACTTGCTGCTACAGTACACCATCTCCCTTTACCGAAGCCTAAACCCCTAAACCCGAACCCCTAAACCGTACCGAACCCGCCATAAATTAAGATTCTCGTCCTCCGCGGCAGCCGGAGAAAGCAAGGACTGAGCACTTGCACTTTCTTACTTGATTCTTTTGACGTGTGTGACTTTCGATCAACGGAAGTTGCACTCCTCTGACTTCTCAAAACATACAGATATATTCATATACATATATATATATATATGCTTTCTTATTTAGATGTGTACTGTATGTAGTCATGGCATAGACTATGTGTGGATATGGAAGTTCTGTGCAGTTGGCCCATGCTCGCCGCACATAAGCACCAATTCCCACAATCTTGGCTCCTCAAAGACCACTCACTTACCACGTCAAGCCCTAAACCCTAAACCCCAAAACCGTAAACCCCAAAACCCTAAACCCCTAAACCCTAAACTCTCAACCCCTGAACCCAGAGTCGATTGTTAAGGGATCCGTAACCCTTAACAACAATAAGAACAATCATAATCATAAGAGCAAGAACAATAAGAATAAACAGAGTAATAGGAATAAAAAAGAATAAGGCTCATATTAATGCTAACCATGGTTCTGAGACCCTGAACCCGAAACCCAAGCCCGAATTCCCCCCAGCCTTCATTCCCAAGCCCACTCGGGTTTAGGGTTTAGGAATTTCTGCCGAAGGAGCTGGTCGATATTCAAGTTTTTCTCCAGCGCGGCAACTTGCTCTAGGAACCTTGGTTTAGGGAAAGTGCAAGGGCCTTAACAACTCGAATGTCCTGAAAGGGTTCAGCGTAGGGGGTTTCCAAACTTGGAAATGGGTTTTGGGGTCTATTGCGCGATCCTGATTAGCAGGAGCCCCTGAGAAGTAGTCCTACACATTTTTGAGGCACTTCAATTTCGGAGTCCCTGTTTGGGAGCTTTGCCTGGGGTGTTGCGGGGGGGGCAGGGCTGAGAGGTTCAACCTAAACACCCAAAATAAACTTCTCAACCCTACCTAGACCCTAAATCCTGAACCCTCAAACTTAAGCCCTGAACCCAACATCCTCAACCCTATGCCCTGAATCCTGAACCCTCCATCTTCAGCCCCCGAGTTGGGAGTTAGGATTCGGGGGACCCTTGGGGATATAGACCCTCTCAATAAGGTCCCCTTTAAGAGAGCCACAAGTAGGGTTCAGAAGGGTCCCCTTTGAGGGGTCTCCCTAATGCTACATAGGAGTAACACAGGGGCCTTAATGTATAGAAATCGATGGGATTTGGGATTTAGGGTTTAGGGTCTATTACTAATTGTTTAGGGTTTAGGGATTTAGGGTTTAGGGTTTATGACTAATTGTTTAGGCTTCTATACTATAGTATGGCCTTAATTCCGAAGGCCGTGCCAAGCGAATCTTAGGCCGCCGCAGGTCAGCAGCTTGTAAACCTGCAGGTCGTGTCATGCACGCATGATGCACATGTGTCTCCTAACTGGAAAACGCTTTGCAAAATCGCGGAACCAAGAACGACCAACAGAGTAGCTGCAATGTACAAGGTGCCACCTGCCATTGATGCTGAGGGCAAGGCAAGTGTCCAAGGGAACATGGTTGGCTCTCGCAATCCATGCCTCAGAAGCGACACCGACATCAGGTAGTGCTTCTACCACTAGTCTTTTCAAAACATACTCTCACCAATGTTCCTAGGGATACCTGTTGCCATCCTCTCTTTCCGTATGACGCATCCGAGTGTTGAACTGTCGGCTTTACCAGAGACAGCAAAGACCACTCCATGCGTGCTGCGATCCTGTACTATGAAAGCTCAAAGCTGAAACCTAAACAGCCCTAAACCCTGATTCCCTAAACCCCAAACTCTACATCCTATAAGCCCAACATCCGAGCTCCGAGCCATCTTCGCTGATTGTTGTGGCCGAGGCTGGTGGTGGCCTCAATCATGGCTTGTGATATAACAATGAATACAACAGCCTGATAAAGAAATGTCAACAGTTAATCTAACACTGGTAGCGATGCAATGAAGTAGTTAAATGATACAACAGGGTACCTATCGTAAAATTATGTACAATGAACAAAGCTGCCATTGCAGCGTGTCAGCTAACGGTAGAAGCGCAGTTCTTGCGGTTGCTATGCGGCGCAGAGCGCTTTACGCAGCCTCGGCACGCCTCGCGGACCTTTGTGTGTAAATTAACCCCTTCGAACCAGCTGGAAACCCTAAACCCCTAAACCCTAAACGCCTAAACCCCTAAACCCCTAAAGCCCCAAAAACCCCTAAAACCCCAAAACCCCTAAACCCCTAGGCCAACCTCAGGGCACAAGGCCAAAAGGAGCAGCCCCGAAGAGTCCCCCCAAGAGTCTCTGGCCAGGATTGTCAGTGGTCTGCGGCCGCTGTGGCAGGTCCACAACCTCGGCTGAAGCTGAACCCTAAAACTCCAAAACCCTAAATTCCTAAAAGCCTAAACCCTAAAGCCTAAACCTAAACCCAAAGGCCTAAACCCTAAGCCCAAAAGCCTCAAACCCTTAAATCCTAAAGCCTAAGCCCTAAAGCCTAAACCGGTAGGGGCTCCAGCATGAGCCTTCCGGTTTTCTGGCAGACGCCTTGACACCTCGACGACCCCCCCAGAAGCTGAAGCTGTGCAGGAACCCTCATAGGATCCCTTGAAGAGCCCGAAGGGAAGCCTATCATAGTAATGTTAGGAACCTGCTCCCCTAAACCCTAAACCCTAAACCATCTTAGGAACCTGCTTTAAGAAACCCTGGCCCTAGAACCCCAATATATTTGGACTCATATTAGGAACCGCTAAGAAAGACACAGGGGCTCTCAGTCAGGTCCCTCTAAAACCGAAAACCCCTAAACCCCTAAGCCTAAAGCCTAATAAGCCCTAAATCCTAAACCCTTCAACCCTTTAAGAGGGGTTGGCCTTTCGAGTTCTAAAAAGAATTCATGAGAAGGCACCCTAAAAAAGGAGGGTTCTTTAGGGTCCAGGTAGGGTCTAGGGTTTGGGGGGTTTAGGGCCCAGGGTGATTAGGGTTCAGGTCTAGGGTGTAGGATTTAGCAAGTCGGATATAGGCTAGTTTGCTAAATTAGGGTCCCTTTAAGGGTCCTTTTTATAAGGGTGCTGTACTATATTGGGGATCCAAAAAGGGACCATAACTTAGAGAACTATCCATATAGAGTTTGGAGTTTGAGGACTTTGGGGTGAGGGCTTTGGGGATCTTTGCTCAGGGGTTTCGCGTGTTTCAGGGAGAGGGGCTGGTGGGGTACTGTAGAGAACCATGGGTTGGTCCTGATATTGTGGTTTGCGCTGCAGCTCTGCCCACAGTACTTCTCAGATGGTAGAAACGGGTACACTCGAAACCCTAAAACCCTAAACTCTGAACACTCTAATCCCTAAACCCCATAAACCCTAAAACCCTACACCCTAAGCTCCTACACCCTAAACCCCCAAACCCCTAAACCCTAAACACTCTAATCCTTAAACCCCCGAGAAACCGTAGTAGACTTCGTAGAACGATGGGAAAAGCCCAAGAGAACCTGTTCCTAAAGGGCAACCCCTTAGTAGTATCCCTTAACTTTTTTGCACTATTGAAGGAGCCCTCAGGAGCCCTATCATACTGGTGATGAACTAAAATATGCATTACCTTAAGGGCCCTAGACTCAAAGGAATGATGGCACATTCCTTAACTATGGGGGTAATGCAGGATTTAGATCCTCCACCGTAGCACTCAGCCCCCCTTTTAAAGGCCTCCCCATCCCTAAACCCTGAACCCTAAACCCTAAACCGCCTAAACCCCAAGGAGAGTTCCGGGTGTTTTATTGGCCTTCACTCTCTCCGTCAGACCCGTTCTTGGCTCCGGAGGCTCGTCCTTAAAAAGCCAAACCCTAAACCCCTAAACCCCTGCGAAACCCGGGACTCGAAACGTCAAACCCTAAACCCCCAAAGCTCTGAAGCCCTGAAGCCTTAAAGCCCTAAACCCCCAAAGCCCTGAAGCCCTGAAGCCCTAAAGC